GTTGGAAACCGACTATAAATAGGTTATGAACAAACACTAGATATGAACACCATATAAGGACATAATTAGTGTATGATTGACATTTAGCAAAAACAACATAGTGAGACATTGCGAGTGAGAGAAATATAGGCGTGTAAACATAGTACAACATACGAAATAAAATCGAATAATTTGGCGATTAAAAACACAGTGAATTGTCGTGAAGGACGGCCCTTTTAGTAGAGCATTCCGACAAAGTGGCACCTGCGACGAGATCGAAATATGGATAAACTAGAGAAAGATTTAACCGGAAAATTAAATCTATTAAAATTTACGTTCGAGAAAACATCAGAAATTGTGAGTAAAGCAAATATTGTCGCCATCGAAAGACAACGCGAAGCATTGATAAAGATTACTGCGAATATCGAGGAAGTAAAATTACAGATTTTAGAAGGAAAGTTTGAACGGGGAGACAACGATGAAACAATTACAAATTGGAGCAAAAATGTCAAAGAACAAGTCGAAGAAGTCGATGCGGAAGTCGAAAAGCTACAAAAATATTTGGATGAAATGAAAGCCAACGAAGCGAGCAAAGCGAAAGAAGCTGAACGGGCACAACCACTACAGTTTGAGAAAGAACAACACAAACAAAAACTGCATTTTGAGCACAAAGTTGATGAAATCAAGAAAGATAAAACTACAAAAAAGCCGGATCAAATTCAAACGAAGCTTCCCAAGTTAATTATTACCCCCATTTAATGGCGCACCAACCGATTGGCTTCGTTTTTGGAACATATTTGAAACCGAAATAGACAACAACAGTGATATAGCACCCGTAACCAAATTTGCCTATCTAAAAGAACTTTTGAAACCAAATGTTAGATCAACTATAGATGGACTACCATTTTCAACTGAAGGATATACCAGAGCGAAAAATATTTTGAAGAACAAGTATGGCAACACCACAGAGATTGTCAACGCCTATGTGCAAAACATTATGGCTTTACCAGTTATCAATGGTACACAACCCTGGAAAATACACGATTTTTATGAGAAATTATTATTCAACGTTCAAGCACTCGAAACTTTAGGGAAATTAACTGAGATAAATGGTTATGTGCGAATGTCGATAGACAAACTCGAAGGGATACGGGGAGATTTACTTCGAACGGATGACAAATGGCGCGAATGGGACTTTCCGAAATTTGTCGAAGCACTGCGAATGTGGACCGAAAGAAACCCCTGCCTACCACGAAAGAAGCGGAGCGAGTTCCCAAGTGGGTCTTCCTATAATACCCAACAACGTACCTGTGTTTATTGTGATAAGCCAGACCACAAGTCAATCGATTGTGGCAGTGTGACTAAACCCGGTGAGCGAAGGCAGATTTTACAGCGCAAACGACTCTGTTTTAACTGTACCGGTTCAGGGCACAGAGCTTCGGAGTGTAAAAGTCGATCGAAATGTCGGGTCTGCGATGGGAAGCACCATTCCTCCATTTGTGAAAAACCACTGAAAGAGAACCTGATGACAACCAATCAAGGAAACGAACAGCATGTTGTATATCCAGTTGTGGTTGTAGATGTGCATGGAGTCAAATGTCGTGCGTTGCTGGATTCGGGATCAGGTAGCTCCTACGCATCAGCTGTCTTGCTCAAAACGATTGGAGTCAAACCCATCAGCTCGGAAATGCGACAAATCGAAATGATGTTGAGCACCACAACCCGAAGGATGGACGTTTACACTGTCAATGTAAGCTCGTTGAATAAGTCTTTTGAAATGGACATCAATGTCAGCAAAGTGGAGAAGCCTCAACTCATGACTTTAAAGAATCCTGGTTATAAGAGCCTCCTGGGAAGACACCCACATCTCGAAGGCGTAGTCATGGATGACAACGACACCAAGACCAACTAACCTGTTCACTTAATCCTGGGAATCAGTGAATGCACCAGAATAAGTACAGCAGAACCGCAGCGCATCGGTGGAGAATGGGATCCAGTGGCTACACTTACCAAGCTGGGATGGACTATTACATCACCTGGGCAGGAGTTTGACATCTCAGCAATGTTACTTACCCAAACAGCGCAAGTTGAGTACGACGAACTGTGCAAACTCGATGTTCTTGGTCTCGCAGACCACCCTGTTGGTGATCAAAATGAAGTGTTCGAAGAATTTAAGGAGCAGCTACAAAGAAGTAAAGATGGATGGTATCAAACTGGTCTCCCTTGGAAGGGAGATCACCCGGCGCTGCCAACTGGGAAATATGTCAGTTTACATAGATTAAACACTCTAGTTCGCAAGCTAGAGAAATCAGGAACGATCAACGATTATGATGCAATCATCAGAGAGCAGCTGAACCAAGGCGTAATAGAGCGTGCCCCAGACACAGTGGTCGGCGAAGAATGCTACATTCCACATAAGCCAGTGATACGAGAGAAAGCAGAGAGTACAAAACTTCGAATTGTGTACGATGCTTCGGCGCGAGTAGAAGATAATGCACCATCTCTAAATGAATGTCTCAATCCTGGTCCGCCACTCCAAAACCAACTCTGGAGTGTGCTCGTAAGAGGACGATTTAATCCTGTAGCCCTCACGGCAGATATCAAGCAAGCCTTCTTACAAGTCCGAATTTGTGAAGAGAACAGAGATGCTTTAAGATTCCACTGGTTAAAAGATGTGAATTCAAAGGAGGTGGAGACCTACAGGTTTACTAGGGCATTATTCGGACTCGCCCCATCTCCATTTCTTTTGGGCGGAGTGATCAAACAACATCTTGAAGTGTGGCGCAGTAAAAGTCCAGAAACTGTGCGTGAAATCGAAAAGAGCCTCTACGTGGATGATTTGATATCAGGTGCGACAACCACCAATGACGCCAAGCTACTCAAAGTTGAAGCTACAGAAATATTCGAGGACGCTGCCTTCCAACTACACAAGTGGCATTCGAACGAAGCTACACTGGAGTCCAACCAACATGAAGGAGAACTCACAGATCAGACCTTTGCTAAACAGCAACTGAGACAGCCAGATAACGGGAACTGCAGCCTCCTTGGGCTTGCATGGAATAAGAACAAAGACACAATTAGCATTCCTATTTCGAATGAGGAAGTACCAACAACCAAACGAGGAGTTCTAACGAAAGTAGCAAAGATCTATGACCCACTGGGGTTGGCGTCACCATTGTCACTAACTGGGAAAATGCTGTATCGAGAAACGTGCAACCTTAAATGTACATGGGATCAAGCACTACCAATTGACCTCGGTAAGAGATGGAAACGATGGGAAAGAGAGTTACCAGAACGTATAACAACAGTGAGGTCTTTGGCAAAGTACCAAGAACCAGTCACCAACATCACTCTTCATGCGTTCGGCGATGCGAGTGGAAACGGGGTAGCTGCAGCCACCTATGCTGTAGTGTCTCAACCATCAGGGCAAACACAAGGGCTCGTGACAGCCAAGGCACGACTCGCCAAACAAGGACTAACTATACCTCGACAAGAATTAGTTGCTGGCCACATGGCTGCTAATCTTGTCACTAATGTCAAGGAAGCACTCGAAGGATTCCCTGTAGCAAACTCATACTGTTGGTTAGATAGTACGGTGGCCCTTCATTGGATTCGAGGCGAAGGAAACTACAAGCAATTCGTGCAAAACCGAGTCAACAAAATTCAGCAGAAAAACCTCGAGTGGAGATACGTCCCAACGCACTAGAATCCGGCGGATTTGGGCAGCCGTGGTGGTGCTGTAACGCAGACCAACGAGCTATGGTGGAACGGACCAAAGTGGCTTTCCAAACCCGAGGAATGGCCTGAGGACGTCCGTACGAAAGCTACCAAAGAATCACTTGGAGAGGCTAAGAAAGTTCGTGAATTGTTCAAATTGGCGACCGATCATGAACCAGATGAGTTCAGTCAACTTATTGAAAGGCGAAATTACTGGACGGTGATTAGAACGTGTGCATGGATCGCAAGGTTTGTGCACAACGCGAGAAACAAAATTAAAAAGGTCGGTCCACTAATTACAGAAGAGATTGAAGCGCAAAAGAAATTTTTGGAAGAAAAGGCTCAACGACAAGGCGAAGCGAGTGAGAAGTACGACGCTGACCGATTGCAACTCAACCTACAGCGAAACCAATCGGGATTGTTAGATGTCGAGGTAGAAGATGATATTCAAATGCCCTTGATAACACCCGAAAGTATCATTCGTCCTCAGTCTAACTTGCTGCCAGAATTGGAACCACACCTCGAAGAAACCGTACCATTAAGGAAAAGAGCGAAGCACATTAAAAAATGTAAAGATACAATGTGGAAACGCTGGACGAATGAGTATTTACGGGGTCTTCGCGAACGACACAATCTCAAACACAGCAGATCATCCGGAACAGTGGAAAAAGGTGAAGTTGTGATCATAAAGGGTGACGAGAAAGACAGAAATCAATGGAAATTAGGGATTGTGGAGAAAGTGTTGCCTGGTAAAGATGGTATTGTACAAGCGGTGAGACTTCGAGCGGGAAGAAATCAACTTGAAAGGCCGATACAGCACCTTTATCCGTTGGAGCTGAGCTGCGACATAGAAAGAAATACGAAGACGAAATTAAATCCGGAGATACCAGCCTTTCGACCGAGACGTAACGCAGCGGAGGTAGCGAAAGTTCGTATAAGTGACATTGCAGAAGATGAAAACAGTAACTGAACTGATGTTCAAAACTTGAACTTATAGATTGATATTGATAATATTATTATAGGGTAATGCATGTAACAAGTGTATTGAACACCTCCGGTGTTAAATAGGGGAGTGTGTTGGAAACCGACTATAAATAGGTTATGAACAAACACTAGATATGAACACCATATAAGGACATAATTAGTGTATGATTGACATTTAGCAAAACCAACATAGTGATACATTGCGAGCGAGTGAGAAATAGGCGTGTAAACATAATACAACATACGAAATAAAATCGAATAATTTGGCGATTAAAAACAAAGTGAATTGTCGCGAAGGACGGCCCTTTTAGTAGAGCATTCCGACAATGTGAATATTATAATAGCTGCAGAACTAAAAATGCTATAGAATATAAAATTAATTAATGCTAAGCGTAATACTAGAGCTAAAGGAGTGTTTTTGCTGGAGCTTTTAGAAGCGGAGAGTAAGAGAGTTTGTATTTGTAAGATATCGTTATTCAGCGTATTCACCTATGGTATTCACATGGAGATTTACTTCATACATTTTACATCTTATTCGCGAGTGCATTATTTACGAGTTATTCAGCGAGCTCCTTGTGGCGTAGCGGTTTAATAGGCGCCGTTTCCGAAGGGTGGTACCCGAGTTCGAATCCCATATACGGCTGTTTTATTTTCAAATTCCCAAACTTTTTTTCAACTTCTTTTGAGTCTGATTTTAAGGTTAGGTCCAGGCCTGGGTTAGGTCTTAGGATTTAGGGTTGAGCGTGGGGTGGTTTAATTTTTTAAGAGAATATTTTTTTAACTGACACTTTAGGACAAAATTTCCTGACTGCCAGGCACGTAAAGTATTTTGAACTGAATACTGCATGTCCGGCAGCCGCCATGATCATGTGTCAGACTAGTATTACAGTCGTTTAGTTTTGATCGAGTACACCGAATATGCGTACAGCCGTTTACTTTTGATCGAGTACGCGTAAAAAGCATACACTTTATAGTGATCGAGTATCCATATTAATTTAAAATTGGGCCATTTTAATATACGAGCGAAAATAAGTCACGGCCTAAATAAGCCGCGGCTTAAATAAGTCGCGAACGATTCGTATAAACAGTCAATTTGCAATAAGCCGCGGCTAAAATCGAGGCTAAAATAAGCCCGGAGTTGAAAGCTAGGCCTAAATAAGCCGCGGCTTTTTGCAAATTGAACGTTTATATTAATACGAGTTGTTCGCAACTTATTTAAGCCGCGGCTTATTTATAGGCCAGGACTTATTTTCGCTCGTATAAATGGCCCTATTGACTATTATTACACTTTTTGTATTACGAGTACTGACAGTACAGTCGATAGATGTAAGATAACGAGTTTCACAATCCTATTTGAAATACAACAATGGTTTTTGTCAGTTTTGTATCATACGTGTTTTTTAAAAGCCCCATTTTCTTACTTTCCAAAATGCAAAACGCGAAAAATCTTTATTAATAATAACAAAAATTTGTAATAGTAAACAATGTTTTTATCGTATTAAAAGGGTTTTGGTTTTTCTACTGCTCCGTACTCCGTGTGCTCTATATATGTTTTACTAATAGGCTATATTTTTATGTTTGCATTTTTATATTATACATACCCTGGTTACAGAGGCCCTTTGCGAGGCGAAAGAAACAAGACGCGCGAGATCACACTACGGAGAGCCTTTGGTCACATTTGGTCACATCGATTGCAAATCCCACATTTGATTTATATAGGTTCAGAATTTGGATCTCGCATGTGATTGGCCATTTGTAAAAATATGTCAACCGGTTTGGGAAATAAACATTACTGTAATTTAATTATAGTCTGTATACCTATAATTAGCTTACAGTAATGTTCATTTCCCAAATCGGTGGACATACTTTTACAAATGGCCAATCACATGCAAGATTCAAATTCTGAACATAGTGTGGAAGTGGGATTTGCAATCGATGTGACTACAATCCTGGAAAAAAATTAGTAGACTTCTTAAATTTTCAAACTTTGTCCCCCTCCCCTCTTATACAATTTTGGTATTTAGGTAACACGTGTTGCAAATCCACTTTACCTGAACCAACATTGTTTGTGGGGGGAGGGGGAATTTAAGATAAATAGTTGCTTTAATTGAAAAATGCTCCCATTTTCATCATATGTTTTCAAATTTGGGTGTATATTTCGAAAAGTCTACACATATTTTTTCCAAGATTGTCTGAAAAAATACAATGGATAATCATTTTACCAAGTTAATTGTACCGTCGTTTTCGAAACATAATTTTCAAATTAGAATGGACTCTATATTAGGAACATAATTCAGGGTTTGATTGAACTTTTTGGAGGCCAGGGGGTCGGTAGACGGGGGGGGGGGCTTATGTAGGTGCCCTGCTTTAAGGAAAATTGTGGTTAATTTATCCAGTAAGGCTGCATTGACAAAAAATTATGGCAGTTAATTAATAACAAACAACTATCGGAGGGACAGATATGGTATATATAGATTATTACATTGTACAATGTTTCATGTCCGTCACATTTTTTCACATATTTGTCAATCATTAGAATTTTATAGTGCAGAATTGTACCTATAAAGTATGTCTTAATATGGTTTCAATATGATTTTATAGCGCATGTACCTGTGATTGCCTCAGAATTGGTGCTTGTCTTAACGAAGATCTTTTTATTATTTAATAAATGTACAGTCTGAGTAAAATCTCTACATGTTACACCATGTTACACCACATGTTACAATACATGTTACACTAATAGTTCTATATTTTATTATACATCCTCACATGTTACAACATGTTACACCTACCTTTAAAAAAATCTATAGTTCCTTTTAAAAATATAGGTGTAACATGTAGTAATATGTCAAGAACTATAGCAAAGTATAGTAATTTTAGTGTAACATGTAGTGTAACATAATGTAACATGATGTAACATGTAGAGATTGAGATTTGTTCTAATCTATAATAGTTGAAAATGTGCATAGATAACTAAAAACCTTAAAAATAAATTAATCCTAACATAATTTAAAACACAACCATACGATAAACGAGTAGAAATGTCTCTTAGTTTATTTATTCGAAACGAACTCAAGAAATCAAGCAGATATGTGTATTTTATGAAATTAAGTTCGCTTATTTTCCGCGAGCAAACACTAAGTAAAACATTTTGAAAAGGGTGTTAAACCTACAGGACTCTAAGTTGAAGCTAATTTTAAATTTACTATACATTCCAAAGTATAAAACCTTATAGAATCGTTGTGCTTGTGATGTTACTCTGAGTGTATATCCACACCGGGTAAGTTTGAAAAATATGCCTGGCCACGGTGGGAATCGAACCTATGACATTTGGAATACTAGCCCAATGCCCTTCCAACTGAGCTACACGGTCTGGTCGCTTCGAGTGTGTGATATTTCGGAACAGAATCTAGTTCCTTCGATATCAATGTAATTTAGTAATCATGAAATATCACATACTCGAACCGACATGACCGCGTAGCTCAGTTGGAAGAGCATTGAGCTAGTATTCCAAAGGTCGTAGGTTCGATTCCCACCGTTGCCCGGCATATTTTTCAAGCTTTCCCGGTGTGCATATACACTTAGAGTAACATCACAAGCATCATATTCACCTGAGTACATTACACCAACACAGAAAAATCTAGAATCGTGTCCAAATTCAACGAAACTGCAAGATAACCCGAGCTATGGGCAACAATATACACTTATTTTCTGAAATCCTACCATCGCAAGTTCTCCCCCCCCGGAATTTTTTGGGGGGTTTGTTACCACTAACATATGTGCCACTCGACCTTGGTAACAACATAGTAGAATAGAAAATTTTATTTGTTCAAAAAATTTAAATATCCTTCCTGTAAGGGTTTGCCTTAATTTAGAGACAATCCTGGAAAAAAATTAGTAGACTTCTTAAATTTTCAAACTTTGTCCCCCTCCCCCCTTATACAATGTTGGTATTTAGGTAACACGTGTTGCAAATCCACTTTACTTCAACCAACATTGTTTGTAGGCGGAGGGGGGGGGGGAATTTAAGATAAATAGTTGCTTTAATTGAAAAATGCTCCGGAGCATTTTCATCATATGTTTTCAAATTTGGGTGTATATTTCGAAAAGTCTACACATATTTTTTCCAAGATTGTCTGAAAAAATACAATGGATAATCATTTTACCAAGTTAATTGTACCGTCGTTTTCGAAACATAATTTTCAAATTAGAATGGACTCTATATTAGGAACATAATTCAGGGTTTGATTGAACTTTTTGGAGGCCAGGGGGTCGGTAGACGGGGGGGGGGCTTATGTAGGTGCCCTGCTTTAAGGAAAATTGTGGTTAATTTATCCAGTAAGGCTGCATTGACAAAAAATTATGGCAGTTAATTAATAACAAACAACTATCGGAGGGACAGATATGGTATATATAGATTATTACATTGTACAATGTTTCATGTCCGTCACATTTTTTCACATATTTGTCAATCATTAGAATTTTATAGTGCAGAATTGTACCTATAAAGTATGTCTTAATATGGTTTCAATATGCTTGTACAGTCAAATGTCAAATGTACAGTCTGAGTAAAATCTCTACATGTTACACCATGTTACACCACATGTTACAATACATGTTACACTAATAGTTCTATATTTTATTATACATCCTCACATGTTACAACATGTTACACCTACCTTTAAAAAAATCTATAGTTCCTTTTAAAAATATAGGTGTAACATGTAGTAACATGTCAAGAACTATAGTAAAGTATAGTAATTTTAGTGTAACATGTAGTGTAACATAATGTAACATGATGTAACATGTAGAGATTGAGATTTGTTCTAATCTATAATAGTTGAAAATGTGCATAGATAACTAAAAACCTTAAAAATAAATTAATCCTAACATAATTTAAAACACAACCATACGATAAACGAGTAGAAATGTCTCTTAGTTTATTTATTCGAAACGAACTCAAGAAATCAAGCAGATATGTGTATTTTATGAAATTAAGTTCGCTTATTTTATTATTATTAATGGTTTATTATAAAAATCGTCGCGCTCGATGAAAGCGAATTGCGAAATTATTTACAAACTTTAGTTAAAAGTATTAAAAAGTACCTTGTGTTACTGGCATTATATTACAACAATAGTTTACTGATCTATGAATTAATATCGAAAGAACTTTTAAATTTACAAAATTTACAAAATTTATAAATTATGTGATTGAATGCACATAGTAGGAAAAAAGCTTTTCTTAAAGCGCTCCGTCTTACAAGGAAACAGTGTTAATCTATTTCCGTACCTTAAATTACAATTGTGTCCATTGGCCCGAGAAGGTGGTATTAAATGATTAAGGCGTGAATCAGGCTGTCTGAATTTTCAAACTTTGTCCCCCTCCCCCCTTATACAATGTTGGTATTTAGGTAACACGTGTTGCAAATCCACTTTACTTCAACCAACATTGTTTGTAGGCGGAGGGGGGGGGGGGAATTTAAGATAAATAGTTCCTTTAATTGAAAAATGCTCCGGAGCATTTTCATCATATGTTTTCAAATTTGGGTGTATATTTCGAAAAGTCTACACATATTTTTTCCAAGATTGAATCCTGGAAAAAAATTAATAGACTTCTTAAATTTTCAAACTTTGTCCCCCTCCCCCCTTATACAATGTTGGTATTTAGGTAACACGTGTTGCAAATCCACTTTACCTGAACCAACATTGTTTGTGGGGGGGGAGGGGGGGGGGTTAAGATAAATAGTTGCTTTAATTGAAAAGTGCTCCCATTTTCATCATATGTTTTCAAATTTGGGTGTATATTTCGAAAAGTCTACACATATTTTTTCCAAGATTGTAGAGGCTCTCCGTTCTTAGCCCGCGTGCAGGCCCTCCGTTCTCGCCTCTCGTTTCTTTCGCCTCCCAAAGAGCCTCTGGAACCAGGGTATTTAGGGAACGGTCATTAATTACAGGGGAGGGAGGGGGGCTGGTGGAAATGAAAAATTAGATGCTAAAATTTTGTTGCCCCCCCCCTGAGGATAACACAATTATACTTGAACCCAGGGCCGTAGCGAGGGGGTATTGGGGGTGGTTAACATATTCGGAAAATCGGGTTGGCCATTCGGAAAATTACGGCAATACTAGTATAATAAAATTTTAGTTGTTTAAACAGAGAAAATCAATTATAAAATTGTATTGTCAGTAAGTATAAACTGATTTACGAAATCACGGCATTTACATGGATAACATTTAACAAATCGTAAATCGGTAAATGTTTTTCGGTTTATTACTTCTCAGGGGTGTAGCAACCGGGGATGGTTGGGCGGGCTGCAGCCCTCACGATAATTTGCTAATAATCATTCTTTTTTCAAACTATCATGCACACTTTTATCATTTAAATAATATACCCTTAAAATACTGACAATTGATTCATTTTAAGCGGCTACATTAACCATGACAAACCGCAAAAAATCATATTACCCATACTCTTTCCTGCAACTTTTCCAATGTATAGTTCATTAAATACGCCCGTCGCCCATTTAGTTCTACTAAAATGTAAGCAAATTGTAAAATTCGACATACTATTAAAACTCTGTTTTCGGACAATCAGAATTTTGTCAAAACGTCCCCCAAAGTCCAGGAAATGGCATTTCAGAGACTCTAAATTTAAACATTTCCTCGGGCCTTCGTTCTCAGCCCCCTAATAAAAAAGAGCTTCCTACGGCACTGCTTCTGTAATATGACTATGCGTAAAATATGCGTATTTTTGTTTGTAAATTGCGTTTTTATACACACAAGTTTTGGTAGCTTTTATTTAGATATACAAAACCATATTGTTGAATACCCACGAGTTCGAGGTTGCATGAAGTGATGTTTTGATTATCTATTTTTGGCTTAATATAATGGCGTGAATTTTTTTCAGAAAAAAAAAAGTTTTATGTTAGATTTGACGCAAGTGAAGTCACTTAAAATGTGCAACAAAGCCAACATTTTTAAGAACCAGTTGGGTTATTTTCGAAATCCGCGAGATATTAACAAGCTGTGAGCTCACTGTGAGGATTTAGTAAAATCCGTGATGCTCATGGTGGATCCGTGAGAGTTGGCAACTATGCCCTATATACATGTATCGTAATTTATATATTCTTTACCATTTATCGAGTCAACGGAATGTACATGTTTATGTTGAAATCAGTTTAATAAATGGTGTTGTGTTGGAGTTTACTACAGTAATAATGTTCTACTGCTCCCTATTGTTTATCTGTACTAGGTTTTATGGTACGACGGGGTCATGCGGGGCAGGTATTTATATTGCACAATCATATCTGACCACCCTTTTTTTCCACCAGCCCCTCCTCCCCTGCAATTAATTACCGGCCCTTAATATACATCAAGTTGCGAATAAATATTTTTACATCAAGTGGTGAGAATTGAGTTCCCGATCAACTAGTGCCTAGCCTAATTGATTCCCCTTGACAAGAATCCTGGAATTAGGCCAATAGGTGTAGGCGAAGTACTGAGGCGAATTATTGGCAAAACTGTGGCAGCTTTTTTCAAAGAAGAGTTGAAACAAGCAGCGGGCCCGCTACAAGTTTGTGCTGGGCACAACGCGGGCGCTGAAGCCGCGATACACGCAATGAGCGAGATCTTTGCTGAAGCTGAAACAGATGGAATACTTCTAATCGACGCAAGTAATGCTTTCAACCAAATGAATCGCTCCGTGGCAATGCATAACATCCAGATTACTTGTAATGAAATCTCGCAGTATCTTATCAACACCTATAGAAGTCCTTCTAGACTTTTTATTTGTGGTGGAGGGGAAATACTGTCTCAAGAAGGCACCACTCAAGGTGACCCTTTGGCCATGCCTTGGTATTCAATCAATACATCAACCATCATACAATCACTGAGACTCGCTAGCCCAGACGTCAAGCAAGTTTGGTTGGCTGATGACTCAGCAGGGGGAGGAACGATTGCAGCGCTTTATAGTTGGTATCGTTATCTGTGTGAAGAAGGCTTGAAGTATGGATACCATGTAAACGGTTCTAAGAGCTGGCTGATTGTTAAATCACAACTTCTGGCGTCAGAAGCAGAACGGGTGTTTGGAAGCGAGGTGAAAATAACAACTGAAGGAAGGCGACATCTGGGCGCAGTTATTGGTTCTACAAATTACAAAGAAGAGTACTGCAACGAAAAGGTCAACAGTTGGAGAGAAGAAATCGAAGCACTAAGTGATATTGCAAAAAGTCAACCTCATTCAGCCTATGTTGCTTTCACAAAGGGCTTCAAATCGAAGTTTAGATATTTTATGCGAACGATAAGCTCCTTTGAAGATTATATTAACCCTATCGAGGAAGCCATAAGTGAGTTGTTTCTCCCAGCCTTGTTCGGCCAAGAAGAGCCCCTGCCTGATGAATTGCACGAAGTTATCACACTGTCCCCTGCACAAGGAGGTTTAGGGATACCTGCATTAAGTGAAGAAGCGCCACAACAGTACGCAGCATCGACGTCAATAACACGTCCACATGTGGAGGCAATATTATCGCAATGCACTTCCATGCCAGAGATCACTAACGAGATAAAAAACGAACAGCAGTCAATCAAGAGGGCAAATGCCAATGCAAAAAGAGAACGTATCGACGAGTCTCTCCCAGCCGATCTCCTACTTTTTGTTAAACAAGCGCGGGATAAAGGAGCAAGCTCATGGTTAAATGCTATACCGGTTGAAGAACAAGGTTTGACCCTCAACAAAGAAGAATTTAAGGATTCGATAAGAATGCGGTATGGCATGCCATTGCCTGACTTGCCAAGTCATTGCGTTTGTGGGTCTGCATTTTCCGTCAACCACGCATTATCGTGTAAAAGAGGAGGTTTTGTGGTCCGAAGGCATGACGGTGTTCGTGATTTACTGACCACGCTGCTCAGCAGAGTATGCAACAACGTGGAAGCCGAACCGAAAATCATGCCATTGGACAATGAACAATTCCGTTTACAGTCCACCAACAGAAGCCCGGATGCGCGATTTGATATCAAAGCTGGCGAGTTTTGGGCAAGAGGAGTTACATCATTTTTTGACGTCCGTGTATCGCATGTAAACTCCCAATGTCATCAAAACAAAGCCACATCTGATATCTTTAAGGAACAAGAAGCCGAGAAGAAAAGAAAGTACCAACAGAGAATCTTAGACGTGGAAATGGGAACATTTACGCCTTTAGTCTTTGGAACGAATGGAGGAGTTGGAGACGAATGCCAGAAATTCTTAAAGCATCTTGCCGAGAAATTGTCGAGGAAAAACGGAGAAGATTACGCAACAGTTATTACCTGGATCAGAACAAGATTGTCTTTCGAAATATTGAAATCCGTGCATTTGTGCACGAGAGGATCCAGATCGCCATTTCGTGCGAAAGATGAACATATAGACGAGTTCAAATTAAACTCTGTTACAGCAGAGGTTTTTTAAGCAATCGCGCAATTTAAAGGCGTTAACGCTGGACTTGTACATTTTATGAATTACGTTCCAAATTATGAATTATCAAGAACTATTTTTAGATATTTTAACTGCAATGAGTTTTAAATGTAAAATGTTCCGAAATTAACTTTTTCTTTTGTATTATTAGATGTT